GGGGGCTGCCGGGCCGGCGTGGGCGTGTGCTGGCCGGCGCGTCGGGATTTTGCTTCCCGCACACTGAGGCCGCGCGTGTGCGCGCGCGCGCGCGCGTGTGTGTGTGTGTGTGAATGCTGCGTCCCCGTGTGCATATCCCCCCCCCCCCCCGCGTTCTTGTGGCGAGATCGCCCGGGGGGAGGGGCTATTTGTGCGAGGCAACTCCACCGGCCCCTATCTCCCGGAGAGTACCCTCCTGCCCTGCCCCCCTCCTGCAAGCCGCCCCCTTTGCCATTCCCCCCCCCCCTGGTCCCTCCTGTCCCACTTCCCCTCACTCGTATCGGCGGACTCTCCCTCTCTGCCTCCCCCCCCTCCCCTGCGAATGTCCGTGCCATCGGCGTTCGAGCGTCGGCCGACCGGCGTCGCACCAGCCACCCTGAAGACGCACCCGCGCAAGATTGTGGCTGGGCTGGTCGCGGCGGCGGTGTACCTGCCCCTGGCCGGCCTGGCGGCCGCCTTCCTGGCCGGGTGCATTGTGTACTATGCGGTCTTTGTGTTGCGCTCCCCGCGCGAGGCCTTCCGGCGGTTGTTCGACCCGCGCTACAATGTGGTCACTGAAACCGACCCGTCGGTGGCGGCGGTCGGCCGGGCGGCCATCACCGGCGCTGGGCGCCCGGGCGACCGGCACCTCCGCATCGAGGGCTCCTCCGGGAACATCCTGCACATGGTCGTGCGCGGCGGGCAGTCGCCGGAGTCCCGGGCGCCCGGGGCCCCGTGGCTGCTCTTTGTCCACGGCTTCCCCGAGTGTTGGTTCTCCTGGGACGCGCTCATGGACCAGCTCAGCCGCCAGGCCGACGAGGAGGGCCCGGACGGTGCGGCCGCCCGGCCAGCCCTGCTGGCCAGCCGCGGCTTCACCTGCGTCGCCATCGATCTGCGCGGGTACCATCTCAGCCCGAGCCCCACCGATGGGGGGTTCACTGCCTTCCGCCGGATTGACCTCTCCCGTGACCTGGCCCTGGCCATCGCCACCATCCAGCGCCGCGAGCGCCTCGGCCCCTGCTGCGTGGTGGCCCACGACTGGGGCGGTCTGGTGTCCTGGTGCGTCGCGCCGACCGGCCACATGCGGGCCCGTGCTTCGACCGGGTGCCTGCCTGGCGCCGGCCCTTCGGCGAGGCGCTCGGTCCTCGCCAGTTCCTGCCTTTCTTTCCCCTTCTCGCGTCCCTTTCGCCGCCGTGCCTCAGCTCACACCCCTGCCCTCCACACACTGCCGCAGGGATACGGCTTACCTTCGCCCGGACTTGGTCAACCGCCTGGTGATCCTGAATTCGCCGCACCCGCGCCGTTTCCAAGAAATCCTCGGCTCCTCAGACCAGCTAAAGCGGGTGCGTCTCTCTGCCGGTTGTCCGGTCCTCTTGGCCGCTTTTCCCCCGACTATCTGCGCCACTCCTTCCATATCTCCCTGCCCTCCTTCTCCTCCTCTTTCTCTCTTTCTCTTTTCTTCTTTCTCTTTCTCTCTTTCTCTTTTCTTCTTTCTCTCTTTCTCTTTTCTTCTTTCTCTCTTTCTCTTCCTCTCTCTTCCTCTCTCTTCCTCTCTCTTCCTCTCTCTTCCTCTCTCTTCCTCTCTCTTCCTCTCTCTTCCTCTTTCTCTCTCTCTTCCTCTTTCTCTCTCTCTTCCTCTTTCTCTCTCTCACACACACGCGCGCACGCACACCGCCACAGTCCTTCTACATTCTGCTCTTCTCAATTCCCTACCTGCCTGAGGCGCTGGAGCGCTTGACCAACTTCACCATCCTCAACCGAATGCTGCACACCTTCAACCCCCAGACCGGCCAGCTGGACCGCCCGCTTCCGGAGGACGACCTCAAGGTGTACCGCTATGTCATGTCTTCCTCTGGCACCCTGACCGCGGCGCTGAACTACTACCGCTGCCAGCTGTGGGACATGATCTTCAGCCCGCTGGTCGGTCCGGAGGTGTTCGGCGGCGTGCGGCTCCCGGGCCCGGAGCAGAAGCTCCAAACCAAGACCATGGTTGTCTGGGTACGTGAGACTTGCCTTCTGCTCTGCCCTTGCACCGGCCGCCCGTCCCACTGGCGAGGGGCCCTAGCGGGCCTCCTCCGCTGTCTGCTCCTCCCCTTTTCCTGCCTTCCCCGCTGCCACGCGCCAGCCACCGCTGACTCCCCCTCCCCCCCCCCCCCCCCCCCCCCCCCCCCCCCCCCCGCCCCCCCCCCCCCCCCCCCCCCCCCCCTGCCCGCCACCAGGGCGAGAATGACATCGCTCTGAACATCGAGCTGTCCAAGGGCCTGGATCGCTTTGTGGAGGATGTGCGTGTGCGCTACCTCCCGGGCTGCTCGCACTGGGTTCCCTTCGACAAGCCGGTCGAGGTGGCCCGGCATGTGCGGGAGTTCCTCTCGGACTGGCCGCAGTGATGCCGGCCGAGGCCGCAAAAGCGGGGCCCCCCACCGCGTGCATATGGCCTCGGGCAGGCCACCCTCTCCTTCCACCCGTGCGCTCTTGCCTGAGCATGTGCACTCCCCGCCCCTCCCCTTTGCACCCCGCCCCCCGATGGCGAGGCAATCGACACCACCCAGCCCATGCCCTTGTCCTGTTTGTCCAGCTGCCATGTCTGTTGAGGGAGGGGGAGAGGGGAGGGGGAAATCCCCACACACGACTCCATGAGCCTGACGTGCTCGTGTGCGTGTGTGTGTGTGTGTGTGTGTCTGTGTGTGTCTGTGTATTGCAGTGTTTTGATGAGAGGCAAGGACATTCCCCGGCGCCGACAAGTGTGGGGCCCGGGGACAAGGGGCAAAGAAGGCATCCCAGGATGTCTCCCGGCTGGGGAGGAAAGAGGGCCCGAGGCCCTGTGCGTCGAGGGACGGGGCGCACGCGCGCGTCCGTGCCCCGGCCACCGTGTTCGGTGTGGTACCCAAGGCAGCGCCTTAAGAGGGACGGCGGGAGCTGTAAGGCGCGTGTGCGAGCGCGCAACAGGAATCCATGACGATGGCGGGGAGGAAGAGAAGGAGGAGGGGGAGGATTAGCATACAGGACCGGGTCACGGAAAAGGAGCTGGACACAGAAGGGCAATGGCAGGAGAGACCGGGGCGTCGAGGGAAGAAGAGTGAAGGCAGCGCAGCGCAGCGCAGCGCAACGTACCGGAAGCCAGCACCGGCAACACCGCCGCGGAAGCGGCCGCGCGGGGAGCCGCCAGCGAAACGGCCACCGCGGAAGCCCGGCGGGAAGGGCATGTACCCGCCGTACATGAAGGGCGCGCCGGGGAACATCATGAACCGGCCACCGCGCGAGGCCGACATGCCCGGGGTGTTGGTGCGCTTGCGAGTGACGTGAATCTTCCGGCTGTGCAGCAGGGTGTCCGTCAGACTGAGGGCCCGCTCCACGCTCTCGGTCGACTCGAACTCGATGTAGGCAAAGCTGCACGTAGGGGCGCGAGGTCAGGAAGGCAGGGCGCGGTTGTCAGAGGCCATCGGGACCGGGAGGGCGGGGGCCAAAGTGCACGCGCGCGCGCGCGCGCGCGCGCGTGTGTGTGTGTGTGTGTGTATACACGTACCCCTTCGGGCGACCGGTGAACTTGTCACAGAGGATGGTCACGCGAACAACGGTCCCGGCTGGCGAGAAGAGCCCGTGCAGCTCCTCGGGAGTCGTGTCGAAGTGGACCTACAACGGAGTCAGTACCTGGGGAGTGGGTGCCGATGTCCACACCAGCACATCAGGGGATGGCGGGGGGGCGGGGCGGAAGAGGACGGAGAGAAACGCACATTACCCACGAAGACCGAGCGCGAGTCAATCTCCTCGCGCTCGGCTGTCCAGGAGAGGCAGGGGAGGGAGGGGGAAAGGGCGCGGCATGAGGGCGAAGTCAATGGGACGGGCCAAAAGGGAGGAGGGACAGAAGAGAGGCCAGGAGACGCGCGACAAAGCGGCAACACACCTTGCGAAAGGATGGGCGGGGTCGAGGCAGCATCCTTCGGCAGGGAAGGGTCCGAGCCGGAGGCCACAACCTGCTGGGCTTGGATTTGCTGCAGGAGAGAAAGGTCATCGTCGGCATCGTCATCGCTCATCGGCTACATGCGCGTATGCGTGCGCGTGCGCGTACATACGTGTGTGTGTGTGAGTATGTAGAGGCCCTTTATGGCTGGCGGGGCGCGCAGGGGCAAGCGGCATGAAGGTGAAGGGGCAGGCATGCCCGGTGCGCACCGCGGCATTCTCCGAGGAGGCCAGGTCGTTCTCGGCACCGGAGGCCGGGACGGTGGCGTCGACCACCGCCGTAGTCGGCACCGAGGCAGCAGCAGCCGGGCCCTCGGCCGGGGCGGCGACGGGGGCCTCAGCGACGGCCGGCACCGGGGTCTCGAAGGGGGAGGTGACAGGCACAGTGGTGGACATGATGGGCGTTGGTGTCTCTCTCTCTTTCTTACACTACCGGATCTCGTCGGCAGGGGGGG